GACTCTCTAAAACCTGTGCAACTTAAGTCGCACATAGCTGCTGGACGCCTTGTAGTTTGGCGCCCTTTCCCTGCAGAGGAGCCCAAGCAGGGGGTGTCCAACAACAAGACACCCTACCTAGGCTTGGCCTGGACCCTTGTGCAGGGAAAAGGATGCCAAACCAAAATGTGTCCAGCAGCTGTGCGACTTAAGTTGCACAGGTTTTAGCGTCGGGCACCTTTTGTCGCACAGTTGCTGGACACCCCGGATTTACAGTGTACGCACGACGCCCGCACCTCAAGTAGCAGAACTGCCAAGTAAAATTCCTAAAATGCGGATGTGTACCGGGTCTATCAGAGTGGACGCCGCAGTGTTGCGGGTTTGCCTATACTCCATCTTACCGTAAGGTGCAGTGCACGGCCCCCGTCAACATTGTATGTATGCCCGGTATATAAATAATGCGCGTAAAAGATTGAACACGTTACGCAGTTTGCTTCTTGCGGGAATCGTTTCGACTTCGACGCTGTTTTCACAGGGAGTGCGTGAAGAGTGGGACGGTACCTTTAGTGGTGAGGTCTTCGATGGCCGTCTGGATGCTCTTCTTGAGGCAGGCGTTGGTATTCGACTGGTTGATCACGCACGTCTTCCAGTTGGAGGCTGAAATCCGACATCAAATCAGTCAACTGCTCCACCACTTTCTCGAAAAACTCTGTGCTTCATAGCTAATTTCACACGTGTAAAGTCGAACTGATCCACACTCACGCAGCTTGGCGGTGCTCGCCGTGGTCGCCAAGACCAGCAGCAGAATGCTCGCCACGCTGGTGAACGTCCTCGTGGCGCCCATGGTGTGTGTGGTGCGTATCACTGACACAGTGCCCGGCTTTGGGCGATACTCCTGATACTACATCAGTTCACGGTCGCGTCCCGTCCTTATATATGAGCCGAGCCTCGTCACTACGGTCCTCTCCTCCCCTCCTTGGCGATTTTTTTTCCTGGACAAGTCCTGAAGGAGGAAAAGGAGGCTGGAGGGGGGGAGCAGGCCGGACTCCTCCGGACTGGCCCGATCGCATGTGTGTGTGTGTGTGTGTGGCGGGTCGCTACACCCAAACAACTATGTTCTTGGGCCCAAGTACACATTGCAATTGATCCTTGATTATTCAAATACCTATCGTTGGTCCAAGAACTCGAGCTTTTGGGGGTGTACGTTTGGCCGTTCGGACCATTCATTGCCCTCGTCTCTTCTTGCGCGAGCTCCTGCAGAGTGCGGGGCTCATTACCGTCAAATGGTCTAATATGGACCATGCGAGGTAATTTGGACCACCTTCCTTTGCCTGCTCTTTGACACAGTGCATTGTGTTGATTAAGGTGGACACATTTAGATATCAAAATATTGCATTGGAACTGTAACTCAAAAAGAGCACCAACTGGAACCGGAACTGGAACACGAAGTTGGCTTACAAACGGGCGGGCGATCCTTTAAAGCCCCCATATTGCTAAACCAGATTATTCTTTTGTCAGTTCGGTGTACGCGGCGGGGGCGGCGTCCTCACGTATACTTCACGCGAGTCGCGCGATCTCGCGTGGCCGACCGAGAGCGGGAAAACCTGTTCGGGCGACCTGCGGCATTTTTTTTTTTTAGTCAAAGGCGCGCACAAAGTTGTTGTTGATATTTATAAATAATCGAGGAAGGGAATTCGATGTGGCACGCATCACCACGCCCGCACACAAACATACACACACACACACACACGCACACACACTGCTGTCACCAAGCGTGCCGGCCGGCGTGTGAGGTGTGAGGGGCGATGACGCATTATCAGACGCCGCGCCCAGCCGCGGGGGGGGGGGGGGGGGGGGGGGCTGGCGCGACCGCTGGAGAGCGAGTAGGGGCGGGGCCCGGGGCCGGTTCAGGAGGCAGGGTTCAGCGAGCAAGACTCCATCATGGTTCAGGTTCAGAAGAGAAGAGCCGAGGGCCAGAGCACGTGCTGGTCTGCAAGGGTCGGGGTGCTAGGGTACTACTTCTCTCGCCTCGCAGCGCCGTTGGCCTATCCACCACTCAGTCCCAATTTCTTTGAGTCGAATTTCCCAGGAGGCCGGGGCTGGGCCCTCCTGGCAGACGCGCTCTCTTTCCTTTCTCTCCTTCGCCGGTTTGTCGCTGTGAGAAAACTGGAAAGGCGTCTTTAACCACGCCTTTAACCTTGGAGCAGATGCCCGCAACCGAAAATTCTCAGCCGCGAGGTACGTTGACCGTTTTACGATGCGGAGCCAGTATTGGCCAGAGCAATAAAGCGGGTACACCATAACGTGACAGCTTCTACTTCACACCGGTAACGGTGGTGGTGGAGATGGTGGCTCGATCAATCAGGAACCTATGAGTTACCTGCCTGCTTCTCGATCACTTTGTAAAGAAACAAAAGAAATAAAATTGAAATTTAACCGAATAGGTCAATTTTTGGTCAAAATTTTGGTCAAACGTTTTACTAGAGTTAACTGATGTGCCCCCCCCCCTCAAAGAAGGCGCCTTCCTCTCTTCCTAATTTGCAATTAAGCATGTTTTGCATTTGGGTCTTTGTCGCCGTTCAGCTCATGGCGCCTTGCCCTACTGTCCAGCTCCGGTTCATGCCTCGACGACGCAGAGCTGTTTGTTCAGATACTCCCTTCTCCAGGAGGGGCATCACATACACGAGAGCGCGAGTTATGCGATGACGCCCGCGCGGGTATCACGCTTCACAGATCTTTCTTTAGACTCGGATACACGTGTTGTTATTGTTATAGCCAGAGGCCTCTTTTTATTGTTCTCCGCTCTTTCTCTAATTCATACCAATCACGTCCACGAGCTCACACTGCCAGCCCGCGCTGCCCCCCGCCCCGCATCCCAGGTCGGATCCGGACGTCAGACCAACACGAGACCAACGTCAGGGAAGGTCGGGAGGTACACCGCTGGGGGCAGCTGCGGCCTGCAGCGACGTCACAAACTTTATTGGACGGGCAGTATAAGTGCGAAAAGTCGGCGAAGCAGGGAAGAGGAGGAGAGGGAGGGGGAGGAGGAGGGCGCGACTGGACCAGCGTCAGTAATTATCCGGACGGATGGGTCAGGCTGCGCCGCGCCACGCTACGCCACTCTGCGCCACGCCACGGCTCTTGGACGTGACGGCTGACGGCGGCCACGCCGAAGACCCACCCGTCCCGTCCCGCACGTGACCTCACTCTCGTTTCGCTTCCTCCGCGTTGACGGGGAAATGAGACAAAACGGCTCCTTGGCCTCATCTCCTTGCGCCCCGCTACCGCTGGAGGAGGAAGAGAATGATGATGCTGTGGGCGGCCGGATAGTGAGAAAAGTATTTAGCCCCAAGGGCCCTGCTCTGGCCCGGGGGAGGATCGGCTGTCGGGCGCGGGGGCGCGGGGGCGCGGGGGCGCGGGGCGTGGACTGCGGTCCCCAAGGTCGCGCCGCGCACTCTCGCGGCTCATTAGAACGGTCGTGAGATGCCGCGCCGCTGCCGGGGAGGGAATGTACGCCGAGATCGCTGTGACCGATACCTTCCGACGGCACCGATGGCAAAGCAAACGAGTCGCGTGAGTGGCGATAGGCGGGACGGGGACGGGTATTTGAACCAGAAGCGCCCCGCGGCGCTCGCCACGCGCCGGCACCGTCCTCTACACCGGGCGGGCCCCGCCGACCGTCTCATTTCCATTCTTTGATCGCACGCCCGGGCGTCCATCTCCATGCAACTAACTCCACGAAAGACTCGAAAGCCGGGTCGTAAATATCCACGAGCTTCGTGTCGTTTTTCAAGTAAACTGGCCTGTGAACCGGCGGAGGGGCGGAGGAGCGGGAGGCGAGGGTGGGGCAGGGTGGGGCGATTCCATCATTGGGAGACACGGTTGCGCCTGGGTGCGAGCCGGTGGCGCGCCGATGGCCAGAGCAGACCCGAGACCATTGTGTCGTCTGCTGCGCCAGAGTCCAGAGTATCGGTGTGTCGTCTGGTCTGTCCCGAGGTGTAGAGGTCGGGCCCGACCGGCCAGCAGGTCGGCGAGTGCAACGCAGTGAAACGTATCGCGGCAGCGCTCATCCGGGACTCGGCCGAGGACTGGACGACGACGACGACGACGACGACGACGGCGTCGTGGTGTTGTGACGGTGACATGGCGATCAACGACGGCCTGGAGATGACGCTGCCGGGTCTGGAGACAGGTAAACACACCGACACACCATCACGACAAACGGCATGTCCGGCCTGGAGAGCTGCTCAGGCAAAACATCCGTCCGGGACGCCGGGGACCCCTTGCCGCGCCGCGCGTGCCGGGGGTTCTGGGCGAGAGTGTGGCGACCCCGACCCGACCGAGGGTGACCCTGTCCGTGACCCTGAGGTTACACAGTCTCGGTCGAGGCGCGATGTCGTTCACAGCAGCCCGCGAGCCGCTAAAACACCACCACTGCCGCGCCAGAGGGAGAGGGAGGGGGGCAAACCTAACCCTCTCTCCACCGCCCCACCTCGACCCGTTCGCTACAGCTGGGCGCTCGATGGGTTGCCCACCCGCCCGGCGCTCCCTGACTGGCGCTGGCTCCCCCCTTCCTTCCATTTCCCCTCCTTCCCTCGGAGACAGAAATACGATTCTAATGTCCCTCATTCGCTTATCGTCGCAGAGCGGATTACCCGCCTCATCCGTAAAGCCGTGCAGGTTCGTTTGAGCAGAGCAAGTCCTTATCGTGCCCTCCCCCCCCCCTTCCCCCTTCTCTCTCGTCGTAACACGTGTCAAACGTGGGTTAGGCCACGGTCAGAGTCACTGCTGGGTTCAACCTACGCACCTAGACGTGGAGAAGGAAGAAGGGGGGGGGGGGGCAAGTGAAGTGGGGGGACATTAACTCCGCTCCGTTGCATCGCAATGCAGCGCTCTGCTCAGTGGTCGAATAGTCAATGCCCGTCCAGTCCACGTGCTCTGACATAACCCGTGACGCTGACGCACGCCTTCCTTCCCATCCAATAATTGTTTCGAGGAGAGTCACGACGCGAGGGCCTCGGCTGGGGTTCTTGCAGCAGCTGCAGCAGCGGGGAGCGGCCGCGCACACACACGCACAGACCTTCCTCAAAGGCTGCGACGCCCACTCTCTTCCAACAACTAAGGCACCATGAGATAAGAAAGGTTCTGGCCGGTTTATGGTTTCGCTCGGAGGCCCCCCCAGCGGATTTGTAGCGCGTCCCGCCAGCCAAGTCACACCGCGGTCTCGTCAGCCTGCAGCAGAATGGGCGGCAAGGAGATCGAGTCGGGTATGGTGAGGCTCTCGTGAGGCCCTCGAGGGGGAGGAGGCGGGGGTCACGGAAGGTCACTGGAGCGACCTGATACGCTCTACCCTCATCGGTATGAATGGAAGACTCTTTCCTGTTCCAGGCGTGGAGGTCAAGCAGGGCCAGGCCAGGGACGTGTCGTACGAGGAGGCCATCGTCCTCGCGGGTGAGTAGCCTCCTGAGCTCGATGGAAGAACAATCGAGTCTGCGGAGTTATTTTATTTGGCGCCGTTGCACCATTTTATTTGTCTGGCACGACGCCCGCCGCCGGCCGACGCCCCTGCAGGCCATGGCAAGTTCCACTTCGGGCTGCTGCTCGTGTGCGGCGGCTGCATCACGGCCACCATCTGCGAGCTGCTGGGGGTCGGCTACCTGCTGCCGGCCGCGCAGTGCGACCTGGAGATGACGGACGCCGACAAGGGCCTGCTGGGCTCCATGGCCTTCATCGGCATGCTGTTCGGCTCGCACCTCTGGGGCTTCCTGGCCGACACGACGGGCCGGCGCAGCGTCATCACCCTCACGCTGTTCGTCGACGTGGTCCTCGCCGTCCTGGCCGCGCTGGTGCCGTCCTACTGGATGTTCCTCGTGCTGCGCTTCCTGGCCGGCTTCTTGTGAGTGTCGAGGGGGCGGGACCGCGGCGGCGGTACCCCATGGCGCTGCTGACCGGCACGGGGTATCGCGGCCCCGGCGGCGCCGGCCGCTGGAGAGGGCACTTCTGATGACATCTTGCTCTCCTTTGACAGCGTGACGGCCCCGCAGGCGGTGGGCTACGCGTACCTCGGCGAGTTCCACTCCCCCAGCACCAGGGCCAAGGCCTTCGTGTGGGCGGCCGTGTTCCCCGCCATCGGCCTCATCTACCTGCCCGGGGTCGGGTGGTGGGTGCTGCCCGCGACGTGGTCGCTGCCGCTGCCCTGGATGGCCTTCCACTCGTGGCGGCTGTACGTGGTGCTGTGCGCGGTGCCCTCGCTGCTCACCGCCCTGGGGATGATCCTGCTGCCGGAGAGCCCCAAGTACCTGCTGGGCCAGGGCCGCGGCGACGAGGCGCTGGTCGTCCTGCAGCGCGTGTTCAGCGCCAACACGGGCCGGCCGCGGGAGGAGTACCCGGTGCGTGCTGGTTACTGTGCACACGCCCAACGGGACCAAAGCAAGGATAACGTTGCCCTGCTTCTGCTCCTGCAGGTCCTGTCCCTGGCCGCGCAGCCAAACTCGTCCGGGCGGCCCGCCGCGGGCGTCAACCCCAAGTCCCCGCTGGCCATCATGCGGTCCGTGTGGGACCAGACAGCACCGCTCTTCACCATGGAACATCTCCTCTCCACCTTCCTGGCGCTCTTCATCATGTTCGGGATCATCGCAGGGTAATAATGACTTCCTGCTGTAGTTTTACGCTACGCCACTTTGGCAGCCGCCTCCTCTAACTCCTCGATGTTCCTCCTTAGGGCGAACGGACTACCGACATGGCTGCCCGAGCTCTTCAACCGCATGGCCATGTACGAGACCGCGCACCCCGGACAGTCGGCGAGCGTGTGCGGCTCCATCGAGGGCCTCATCGGCAACGCGACGGCGTCGTCCGGGTCGCCCGGTGACGAGTGCCTCGCCGTCGTGGAGACGGACGTGTTCGTCAACAACCTGTACGTGGGCGTGGCGGGCGTCATCGCGCCCGTGCTCAGCGTGTTCCTGGTGGGGCCCCTCGGCAAGCGGACGCTGCTCAGTAAGTCGACTCTCCCGCTCCCACAGGACTCCCCTTGGCCCGGGCTCCACTCCTTTTCAATGAAGGCGGTGATCTGTAATCCCCTGGCGCTCCCTTGTTATGAGGAGAAATGAAAGAACTCTGCCTGTCGTGCTGTGCTATGCAGGAACGGGAGCCTTCCGCGTGCGAGCCACGTTTCAGTCGAGGACATCAGCAAATTTGATTTGATTCTCCCCCGCCTACTCTTCCCGCCTCCCCATTTCCTCCACCATTGCCCACTCCCCCTCCCCCCACCTCGTTACATCCCCGTTATATTCGTTCTGAACGAACAGCCGGCTCAAGGCCTCGCACCGCCTCTGCTTTTTCCACGTTTAGTCCTGTCGCTGATACTGACGGGGGCCTGTGGCCTGGGCCTCAAGTTCGTCGGCTCCTCGCTGGGCTTCCTCGTCCTGGCGTGCATCGTGTGCGCCGTCACGGAGATGTGCATCTCGCTCTTCTCCAGCGTGGCCGTGGAGATGTTCCCGACGCACCTGCGCGCCATGGCCGTGTCGCTGTCGCTCATGTTCGGCCGCCTCGGCTCCATCGTCGGCAACCTCATGTTCGGCTCGCTCCTGGAGACATCCTGTCCCGCCACCTTCTACGCGCTGGGCGGGGTGCTCATTGGTGAGACAGGGCCTGAAACACGCGGCCTAATGGAGAGAAAGAAAAAATATTTTCGCTTGAAACTTTGTTAAAACTTTCATGTGTTTTTGTATACAGCTTGCGGCCTGTTCAGCTTTATCCTTCCCCGCCACGGGAAGTTCCAGAACTGAGAATGGAAGCCTGGCAATCTAATTTACGGCCCAGTATTTATTTCCGTCGCCCCGTTTTAAGGGGTACCACTTTCTCCTGTAAATATATTATTTTCGTAATAAACCGTGTTTTGTAAATTAAGTACTAGCCCAGGCCGCGCAACGCGGCGATGTAACACATTTCGCGTCGCAAAGCTCTTCATGGCGAAGGGGTTGCTGTGTTTCTCCTCCCCTCCGCTCATCCGCGAGGCACCGCCACGCCACGCCACTCCACGCCAAACCTTCCTCCACCACCACCACCGCGACGCAATCTGGAGAAATCCTTTCCAAAGCGCGGCTCTGAATAAAAGAGACGTCTTCAGCAGCCCCCGCTACCCCACTGGGCGCAAGGCCACTTAGGCCATTGTTCTCTAAGACCACACCTCTGGCCGCTGCCGTCTTCATCTTTTTAGGCCACGGTAAGGTATTACGAAACCTCGCGGACTCGCCGACCCACGCCATGCCCCGCTATCATCGCCTCGTTTGGGGATTCGTCCACACTTCAGGCCACTACAGAAATTTGTATGTTGTGAGTTTGGGGTTGGTGGAGGGTCAAAAGAATGACACTTTGATGAAGTTATTTCAACGGTACTAACGTTAACGTTGTCTACGGTGGATTGTACCGGGTGATTCAGAGAAGACGCAGGTGCAAGCGGGTTTGCCTATCCAAGGGGCTATGGTGCCTTACGGGCAGAGCGGGTAGGCAAACCCGCTCGCGACTGTGTCTTCTCTGAATCACCCGGTACAGTTTTTATCATGAACCCAGAAAACCGTTTAGACCAGAGAACCAAATTCAAAACCGACAAAATTTTAGCTCTGGAGACCAAAATTTATCCGTGGCTATGTAATAATTTAGTCTAGCTGACTTAATTTGATTGGTGCGACCATATTTAGTGAAAAGTGGGGTTACTAAATTTTAGCCGGTTTTAGGAACTAAATTTTGTTTCTTGCAACCCCGAATTAGTTGTATCAACTAAATGGTTCTCTGGGTGTGGTCTCCCAAACATTCCCATTGACAACTGTAGAACTAGGGTAGGGTGGCTCCCTCTGCCGTAGTTTGACCACTTGGCCACGCAAAGAGCCTTGCTTCACAGTGATGTGTCCACGGTGTTGGTGTGGGAAGGGTGGTGCCGTGGGCTGGGGCGTGAAAGGCGCGTTGTTTGAGCTGCTCATTGTGGTGTGCGGTATAGAATTAATCCCCAGCCCCGCCCCACCCCCGCCCTCCTACGTCTCGTGACTCCCGGTGCCAACACCCTGTAGCCCCCGCGGGGGGCTTTGTCCCGGTCTCGGTGCGTCAGTGTGAAGCCCCCCCTGCTCCTCTACGCCCCCTCCCAACGCCCACAAGGCTAAAAGGGGTGAAACGCCTTGAAATGCCCCTGCTGTTGAAGCAGTTCGCAAAAGGGTGCAAGGCGCGGGCCGGGCCAGGGTTACGGGAGGTGGGGCGGGTTGGGGTCGGACTCCAACAGGTGGACCATATACTTGGTGAATGGGGTGGAACCGAGGGCCACCCTGCCCCCGCCCAGGACGCCGATACAGCCGGCAGGCCGTGGGCCGAGGGCCTCTACCGCCACCGTGCCTTAGCACAGTGCATTAAATTCCACTTTATGTGAAATGATGTCATGTTGACGAACTGACAGTGATTTTTTAAAGGAAAGTAGGGATAAAGGTAAAGAACAAGTAAAAAAAGAAATTTTTATGCACAGTTTTGACTTATACATATCTATATATTTGGTGAAAAAGCTGCCAGACATTTTGAGGGGGTACGGTAGATACGGCAACATATCAACGATACACTTAGTATGTTAACACGTTAACACGTTGAGTCACACGTGGGCACAAGGTGGTCATGCCTCACGTCCCCGCCAATCTCTCTGGGACTCAACGTGTTAATCGACTTTAGGAATTATCCTAAAGTCTACTAACAAGCATAAGCATGAGTCAGTCTTGCCTGCCATCATTTTGAACCTATACCGTCCATACGGCATGATGGGAACATTTGGATACACATATCTAATTGGGAAGTTCTCAAACACGTAAATTCCCTGTAAGTAATTAAAAGTGATCCCAACCTTTAAATTTATATTTATTTTGTGTTTACTTTTTAAATTT